ATATATATATATATATATACATATATATATATATATTTATGTGTCAAACTGAAGCCATGCTGCATTTTGCCTTCCATACTTATTTTTACAGAGGCCTTGGGCATTAGTCTAGCGATGGTCACCTCACTGTGCCAGTGAGGTGTAGAGGACAGGGATGGTTCACGTGGATGGGGCTAAGGACCTTGTCCCCCTTTATTCCTGTGGCCTCTCCAGCCATGTTTTATGAAATCCAACTGTATGTACATAACTGTGAGCAAATGGGAATTCTTGTTTCTGGGTCCTATGGGTAGTAACAGATCACAGGGGACTGCCACTCCTGCTGACTGCTGGGATCCCACTTGGATAGGATGGAGGGTACAGATCTTGCACTGCCTGTACAGTGTTTCCTGTGAGAGAAGGTCATCTTTAACCTTGACACTGACTTAAAAAAGAAAACACAAGTGTGCCTTGATTCAGGAGCACTAAAAATGTCAGATCTTGTAAAGATAAACTATGTCAAAAAAAACAAAGATTCTCTTCATTGCCACTTTAAATCCTTCTTTAAACTGAAGGTGCAAGCTTGTGTTTGTGTAGTATTTTATAACTAGACTACTTTAATAAGCTGATTTGGGAAAGCTTTTAAGAAGGTCTTTGTGACAAAGATCATTAAAATAAAGACAAATAAGGACAAATAACAAGAGCCAAGAAATGGATAGAAGGAGAGAAGGCCTTTCTGGAAAGCCCTAAGTAGGCTATTGGCAGCTACGGTGGAAAGGGGACTCATTTAAAAGCTATTAAAGAGTGTAGCAGAGAGCTGAGACAGACTTCACTCTGCTGTTAAATTCCTGAATGAAGCTGTTGTCTGGATGCACCCACAGCGGATAACAAATCTAAGTGGATGAGACCTTTGACAGCGGAGTTTTTAAAGGCATGATTTCCTCATATGGTCACATCTTACAGTGACTACTTCAGTATGAACATATAACCTACATTTTCCCCACGGATTATACTCCATTAAGGAAGAAGTGGGGAAAGCCACTCACTTTTAAAAATGAAACAATGGGAAAGAATCTCACAAATGTTAAACAAAGCTGTTAGGACTAGCAGGGTCTTTAGTAAATGGGGTGATGACTTTGGGATAAACTGTCTCACAAATTCGGACCTCCCCGAAAGCTCACACACAGCTACACTAGCCCTGCAAAACCTGTGACACTGAAGGACATCAGGTAGGGCAAGTCGCAAACAAGTTTCTGGACGTACATTGCAATCCTGAATCCACTTGGTGACTTCATCATCAGCGATGTCCTTGTTAGTGACTGCCTTCAACAGCTCACTGGTTTGGTCTTCTTGTTGCTGAACTGCAGAGGCACACTGCTTTGTGTAGTCCTTGTATCTCTGCCAGAGCTGAAGGAGGGCCTTGCTGGAGTGCAGCTGCTCAGCAATCTCTTCCAGTAAGTTATTCCATCTACGAGCAACAGTGAGCACTTAGGGCAGGTTACCATCCGTCACCAAACCCTGTCACTTACTATCTTATTTGTCTTGATCCTGATTCACGTGAATATGAACACAAGCAATGACTTATATCTGTTTAACACAATAAAGATTAAAAGACTGTGCTCGTATTTCAACGGGATGAAAACTATCTTTGGGTGAAGAGCAGTCCTAATCTTTACTAAATGTCCTCTTTTTTGGCTATTTTTCATTTTGTAAAACAAAACAAAACAAACAAAAAAAAAACATTAGCTTGGTGGTAGTGGTGCATGCCTTTAGCTCTTGGGAGGCAGAGGCAGGTGGATCTATGTGAGTTAAGATCAGCCTACTCTACAGAGCAAGTGCCAGAACAGGCTCCAAAGCTACACAAAGAAACCCTGTCTCAAAAAAACAAAAAACAAACAACAACAAAAACCAAACCAAAACAAAAACCCCAAACCAAAAAAAAACCAACTCCCAAACATTAGTATAATAGACTCTATAGATGTCCAACTGAAAATGCCAGAAAGTTTTAATTATATCATTTATAATAAGATACAAAATTAGCCTGCTCCATACCTCATATTGACTTCCTGCAGGGTATTGGAGAGAGTTTCTGTCACAGGTGGGTGACACTCCTTCAATAGTTGGTTGGTGATGGAGCTGAATTTCTGCAAACCCTCTTCCTGCTTTTCTAGGCAATCATGAAGATTCTGCCCAAAGAAAGAGTCCCACAGATGAAAAACAGGAATAAATTCTAATGAGCATGTTTAAAGCAGTTGAATTATAGGCATGCACATGTTGCTCCAATGCTTTCAAAAAGACAATCACTTCTTTCTTCTAATTCTGTTCTGAAAGAAGAGTCATAGCAATTGAACCATCTTATGCTAAAACATGGGTTTTTATAAAATTCATGAAAGATGTCCTCGCTGCCTGGGAAGGAAGCTGCAACAGTGGTCCAGGTACTGTCTTCCGCACTGTGGCCCTTATTCATGCTCAAAGCCCAAACCCAGGCCTCTGTGTCATTAAATATCTAGAGTTATTCTCCTGGTAATTGATGACTAGAATATCAAATTGCAGCTATTCTAAAGATCACCTCTAAATTCTATCTCATGCAAAGAATTTTCTGTTTAAATGACAGGAAATAACCATACACACCCATAGGGCAATCATTTTGGATAAATGTTCAAACGCATTCATATCTGTTTATATTGTAGGTTGACTAATCTAATTAACACATCATGATGTCACATACTAAATGACTTTTGTCTAGAACAGTGGTTCTCAATCTGCCTGATGTTGTGACCCTTTAATACAGTTCCTCATGTTATGGTGACACCCCCAACCATAAAATTATTTCCATTGCTACTTCACTAACTGTAATTTTGCTACTGTTAGGAATCATGATGCAAACATCTCCTATACAACCCCTGTGAAAGGGTCATTCAAGCCCCAAGGGGGTCACAACCCATGGATTGAGAACCATTGGTTTAGAACTATCAAGCTCACAGAAATAGAGTAGAATGATGGTTGCTAGAGGTATGAGAGAGAGGTAATAAGGAAAGGAGAGATGTTCCACAGAGAATAGTTTCATCTAGGCAAGAGAATTTGCCCTCCCCATCTTCATGCACTGAATGGTGGCTGTTATTAATAATACTGCATTGTGCACTTAACATCACTTACAGCAGAGAGGAATTATTAGACCAGCTCAGTGAAGTCTTCTACCTAGCGACAGGGAGGGGCCTAGAAGAAAGGTGTTTCTCTGGACCAGATACAACATCACATACCCATAATCCTAGCACTAGAGTGGCTAAGGAAAGGGAAATCATGAGTTCTAGGTTACCCTGAGCTACACGATGAAACCCAATCTCATGCCTCTGTGACATGTCTTCCTAGAAATACTATTTAAATGATAGTCCCAATTCCTTGTAAAAGAGAAGTCACCTATAAAAATATAGTACTATTTACCAATATCTAATTGCTTGCAAATCAAAATATTCAAGGATAAGTTCATTAAATCTTCCCTATCTTGAGACAAATTTCAGGTGTTAAATGCAGAATACAGTAATTTTAAAAGTTCTCCAAATTAAAAAAAAAAAATGTTTTAAGTTTACTATGCCCAACATGAGTTTTAATGGTTCTTAGTAACTGCCACAAGTCTTAGTTTTTTAAAGAAATTTTTACACATTTCAGTCTTCCTCTTCCCAGATCCACCCTCAAAAGGCATTCCCTTGTGAAAGTCTACCTAGGAGCACAGCAACATACTAATGCAGATGTCAAGTCAGGGATGTGGGCTAGATGTAAGAAGGCACATGCTAGGAACCCCATCCCTTGAGGGCCTGCCCTGCCTAGCCCATGGTCTGTGTATTTTAGCCAGGAAGAATGAACAGTGACAGGTCAGTGTAGCACAGTGCCCAGGTAAGAAAGGAGGTGAAGACAGTGAAGACACAGACCATGAACCTGAGAGCCATGACCTGAGATGTGAGCTAGAGATGGATTTAAGACAGACAGCATCACATACATTCTGGGTGAATACAGTGTGGACAGAGACCTGGGAAAGCAAAGAGTGAGTGCTGGAAAGAGGTGATGTGGTCATTGCGTTGGCCAACAGGATTCTACCAATGAATCAGAACACTATGGTTTAAATGTTTACCCCTTGGCTATTTTCCTTCCTGTTTTCTAGTTTCTTGGGAGATACTTGGAGAGGCAGACTGAGGAAAGAAAGGGAAGACAGTGGGGCCAAGAAGTGGGTTTGGGTAGCCAATCATATCATAAAACATACGTATGTCTAATTTACATAACAGGGTATTAAAAATCCATCATCTAGATCAGCTAATCCAGCTTTTGCTACCCACAAGCACATTTGATTAAGTTAAAATAAAGCAAGGAAATTAATATTTTAAATAATTAAATGCAAAGAACATAATAAGACAATATTTTAGGGTGACATTTCTACTTGATAATTTTTTTGTTTGTTTTCTTTAGTGAAAAGGTTAATATGTAGTCAACTAGCTGGGCGGTGGTGGCACATGCCTTTAATCCCAGCACTCGGGAGGCAGAGGCAGGTAGATCTCTGTGAGTTCCAGGCCAGCCTGGTTTTCAAAGAGAGCTCCAAACCTACAAAACAAAACAAAAAAGAAGAAGAAGAAGAAGAAGAAGAAGAAGAAGAAGAAGAAGAAGAAGAAGAAGAAGAAGAAGAAGAAGAAGAAGTAGCCAACTTTTTATTACCTGAAGATTGTCCACCTGAACCTGAACAGCTTCTGAAGAACCAGTCAGCAGACGGAATCGGGACAGAGAGTATCTGGCCTCCACGATATGACTGTTGATCTCATCAAAGGCTTCTTTGTGATTGGCCCATTGGCCAAGCACTGATGTCAACAGCATCTTTAACTGTCCGACCTTTTGGAAAGAGGAACACTAGTCATACCTACATATGACTTAGCATGATGGAACAGAAAAGCATTAACCACTGAAATACTACAGTGTCATTCTAGGCGCTAAAAGCAGTAAGCGCTAAACAACTGGAGTTACAGGCTGATGTGAATTGCCCACCATGGGTGCTGGGAACTGACCCTGGATCTTCTGAGACAGAAGTAAGTGCTCTTAACTGCTGAGCCACCTCTCCAGCCTCAAGGGACTAACTTTAATTTTTTAAATGGTGTATATCTCTTCTACCAAACAATGAATGGATTTCATGGTGACATCTATGTTCAAGTTCATGATGTACCTTAACCGTACTCTCTACCACCCTCTCCTGTACATGCCTTCTTCTAGTCCTCTTCTCCCCAAAATGTCCCCTTCTGATCATGTGCTGTATATGCATGCATAGAAAATGTAGGTTTTGTTTACGAGAAACAAAGGAGCAAGAAAAAACTGTGATCTTTGTCCAAGTCTGTGTAATTTTTCTTAACATGATTGCCTCCAGTTTCATCCATCTTCCTGACACAATTTCATTCACCTTTAAGAATAAACAAGGTCTGTCTGTGGACAGACAAGTAGGTGAAATCCATAACTTGGCTATTCAGAATGTGTAGCAGTGAGCACGGGCATGCAAGTGTCACTGCAGCCTGTGGGCTTCGATTCCAAAGACAGCACTCCTGCACATGTTGCTCCTCTGTGCTCATCAGCACCAGACAAAATTTGGTCTTAAAAGCATATCAGTTTTGGACAGAGGCATGTCACTACTAACCTAAACAGGGCCCTTTGAGTACGGAGGAAGCACAGTGAAGGGTGATTATGGAAAGAGGTCAGACATGATCATCTGCATTTGCTTTCTGTGCTTTCTCTTTTCTCAGCGTAAAGGGAAAATGTTGAAATCCATTGGGGAACTATCTGATGGGCCACAGGACAAAGAAAGTGCTGCTTCAGATGTAAGGTCCAGGCCACAGGTGCAGGTGGTGGGGGGAGGGTAGGGCCATGCTACAGAGTCATAAAACAGATGTGAAGATGAGGCAAGGTGATCAGTGGGGTGCTCTGCATAGCCTGCTCTTCTGCATTATTGTTTGTTCTTCACAGGGCAATATTCCAATGAGAGAAATGCTTAATTGATGATGACAATATGGCAAGTTGTTCCCAAGCCTTTGTGGTGATTTATAGAAATGCATAAAATAAAATAGATTTAAAGCTATGTCAAAGATAATATGGGGCTAAGGCGGAAGGCAGGCCTGGAGAAGAGCCCGTGGATGGTAGGAGTTGTCTGATGTTTCTGTTCAAGCACATTTCTGTACCTCAACGGTATTCATTCTCCATAACTCTTCCTCATCTCTCCAGCCCATGTCACTTTCCTTTTCCAAAGAAGTCCTCTATTTACGTGTGTGTGTGTGTGTGTGTGTGTGTGTGTGTGTGTGTGTGTGCGCGCGAGCGCGCGCGCGCGCGCGTGCATGCGTGTGCATGCATATGTGGATGCATGTGTGTATAAGGGCATGCATATGTTTGTGTATAAATGCATGTATGTGTCTGTGCACATGTGTCCTCAGCTGTTTGCCCCTCAGCTCTAGTTCATAACATGTGAATAACTAAACACTGAGACTCTGATGTACTGGGAACCATTGTGCCCTTACATAGTGAGGCACAGAACTCCTTGTCACACTTACTCTTCTTACTGGAAGATTCAGCACACTATTGCAGGAATTATCAAGTCTCTTTGTAAGGATTATATTTTACTGGCAGAGACTGAAGCATACAGGGAATGATACAGTATGCTAGGAGGAATGAGCAGGCAATCGGGTCTCTAAGCACAGGGCATGTCTACTGGGCTCAAAAAGAGAGTGAGACCAGTGTGGCTAAAGCAAAACAACCTTGCAGGGTCAGAGAGACAGTGGGAAGTTGGGTCAGCACCCAGCTAGCTCTGGATTCGTTCCTTATGAGGCCAGAAGCTATTGCAAGATTTTTAACATGGGGATATATTGACATGACTTCATTTGAACTGGCTCTGCTGAGATATCGATTGCTTAAGAGACCATGGGAATTATCCAGGCAAGAGATGGCAGCAACATAAATCAGGGCGCTAGCTGCAGAGATGGGCTGGATTCTATTCTGTTCTGGGAGTGTATCTGCCAACATTTTCTGATGAACTAGGTGTGGGAATGAGAGAAAGAAAGGAGTGCGGAGAAGTTGCAAAAGCTTTCTGCCCAAGCAACTGGCATGACAGTTGCCATTAACTGAGATGGTAGCCACAGTAGGTTTGTGGGAGGAACTGTGATTTACTCTAGGCATAGGAGTTTGAAATGCCTGTTGGTCACAGGTCTCTCTTTCTGCCTCTATTTAGAATTCTTGGAGAAACTAAAGATGTGGCCAGTCTCCCTGGAGAATTATCTGTGCCTACGTGGTATCTATGACGATGAGGATGGATGCATGTAAGAGAGTGATGTTTATAATAATGTTTATTACAGGAAACACTAGAAATTAAAAGACATTTAATTGAGGAAACAGACTCAACAATACCAAGGAGTGGTGTAGAGATTTGATAATGATTTACTCAGCTGCTTTCAGCAAACATCAGCCCCAAGTTTCATGAGAGGGGGCAGGAGCAGGGTCTGGGGGACAAGCTTACCGCCTGGTCTAAACTGGCCCAGGTCTGGCTGAGTTCCTGCAGTGTGCTCTTGACACTGCTGGAGGCCTCCTCCTTCTTGTTCTGAATCAATGCGAGTCCACTCTGCTCAATTTTCTCTACTTCCTTTTCTTTTGCTTTAATCAAATCTTCCAGTTCCTGAAAGATTAAAAAAATATATATAGTTATTTTAAATTGTTCTATTATGGAACTCTGTGGTGCACCGAAATTGAGTCATTATAGTTTCATGTGCTAAAACCCTGCCACTAATCCAAAAAGATTACCATTCTCAAAAGAGGTATAGTGATACTTCTTTCTATACTTAAATGTTAAAAAAAAGATAGTCTTTTTATCCATATTAAATTAGCATAACCTGAAAAATATAAAATCTGATCACCCACCAGATAAAGAAATGTCATTATGTATCTTTTTCAAAAAGTTATAAGGAGTAAAATACGTATCCAAAATTGTAGTATGATTATATCCTTAAACCCAAACATGCCGATGGCCTAACACATGGCAGGATGGTACCCAAGATTCAGACATAGTTTTCTTGCTCTTTAGCTGCGTCACTTTGTAAGTGAGGGACTTTTACTGAGTCTCAATTTCTTCAAATGGGGAAACTAAAGACTGGGAAAGAAATACTATTATCTTCTCTCTCTCCAATGCTCTGATTTTATGTGATTCTGAAAGGCTACAGGCTTCTTCATGTCTTAAATCCTCACTTTCTTTAGAAGGTGCTTTTATGGCTGTTAGACTAAAATGTTCAGAGAAGTCAAATGAGAAAAAGCTCTGAGCCCATCCTTAAATCATACATTACAGGGGCTGGGGTGATGGTTCTGTGGTTAAGAGCCCTGACCGCTCTTCCAGAAGTCCTAGGTTCAATTCTCAGCACCCACATTGTGGTCACAACCATCTGTAACTCCACATCCAAAGCCTCTCCTTTAACTTTCAATAATAGCACCAGACATGCACGTGGTGGACAGATAAGCATTCAAGCAAAAACCTCAGACATATAAAACTAAAAAAGAAAGTTTATATAAAAGTGAAAAACATACATTACAATCCCAGCCAACTTATATCTGAATGCCACTGGGGTGCAGTGAAACAAAGCGGGATTGCTTTCAATGTTGTCTATAGGTGGAGAAGCAGGATTTCAGATGGAGGAGCAGGAAGTCAAGCCATCCAGCCTTGTTGGGGTCACAGTGCTGCTGAGGACTGCAGTGGAAAGTGAGGTTTTTTATGGGGGTCTGTGGGGAGCCCACTAAACCCAGGTCCGCAGAGGGGTGTGAACTACTTTGTGACTCTATCTCCTATGACCAGCTAGTACCAGATTTATACAGGGATCGGAAGAACCTTGAGGTCAGAAGGAAGAACATTTCAAAATATTTTAAGTTTGGATAAAAATTAATTATGCAAGAAAAATATTTGTCCTTCCTCTCAATTCATCCAAATTTCAATTGTTTTGTGTGGGTATATGCATGCATGTAGGTGCATGAATTAGAAACCATGTCAGTTTGGGGTGTCTTCCCCCATCCCTTCTTTATCTTTTGACACAGGGTCTCTTTCTAAACCTGGATTCACAGATTGTCTACACTGGCTACCCAGCAAGCCCAAAGGATTCTCCTACCTCTGTCTTTCCAGTCAGTGCTGGGATTCCAGACACCATAACCCAGCTTTTATGGGGATGCCAGGGACCTAAAATCAGGTCCTTAATGGTTGTCCAACAATCAATTTATCAACTCATTGATTCATATATACGACATTGTAGTTGAGTAGCTGTTCATGAAGTGTTCGTAAGAAGTCTCTGCTAAATTAAGTACAAATATTGTGCTTCTTTTGATATTGTTGTAGAAATGATTTCTGCTGTTATGTCATTTTCTCATTTCTACTTTTGTCAATATTATGACACCTTGATAATCACCAGAGTGGAATCTAATGACTACAGAGGTAATAGTTTCTTTATTCAGTATAGAGAACATAATTAACTTCACGCTTTAAGATATTTCTGTGTTTTTCCTAAGGAATAAATAACCATGCATGTCATCCCAATTCATATTCAATATGAAGTATAATTTACTTACATGTCAGTGTATAATAGAGACCCATAGTAATTCTTCCCATAAGATCCTAAAACTTAATTATTAGAATTAAATATATCTTTGTTCATCCACAGTTGGAAACCTTCTCAGAGAGCAACACTAAATGGATGGTTCATGGGTTATATACATCTCAGAAGAGCAGCCTGCACCCCAGCACATGAGTGTGTAACAGTGAAACCCAGGAGTGGAGCAGGATTGAAATATATTTCTGTGCTAAGTAAAGGTGTCTTTGCATTTCCTTTCAACAATATTTTTTTAAGTTGTTCTGAGTTCTGATCAATGGAGGCAAAAGCCAATCCTAACATTTCTTTAATAATAAAGTATTCTCAACTTGGATTAATTCACAAGTATCAGTTTTTCTATTACATTCAGTCAATAAATCACCTCTAAAAGAGACTGGAAAAATATTCGAGCTTTTGAAAACAAAACAGACCCTGAATCCAGGCACTGATTTAAGTACATGAGCTTGAATTTCATGCTGTGGGCCAAAGAAACAATTTCTCAAAAATGACAATAAATTTTATCAAGGTTTGTAGAATTGCCAATTAGGACCTGCTGGTTAGGCTGTTGTGATTTATACATGATGTCCCACAATAACTGTGTGGGTTCCTCTCTGGTCTTTCAGGTTTGGAACAAATGGCTTTCCATTTAAGTCATGAGTTGGCATCAGCCTAGAGTTCTTTAAACTACAATGTAGGTTTTGCCTCTGGCATTGCCTGAAGAAACCCTCTGGGAGCCTAAGACTTATGTCCCAGGCAATAAAATTTGGCTACACTTCCACAACATTTTTCAGACATCAATGTGTCTCCCTACTAAAAAGAAGACACATATAGGACTACAGTCAAAATAGAAAAGGAATACCAAAGAGAAGAAAAAAACTAGGGAGAAAGAGAAAAGGGGGCTGGAGAGATGGTTCAGTGGATAGGAGTACTGCTGTTTCATAGGCCTGGAGTTTGGTTCCCAGGACTCATATGAAGCAGCTCACTAGCACCTCTAACTCCAGGTCCAGGGGATACAATGCCTTCTTCCAGCCTCTGAGAGCACACATGGAGGGGTGGGGAGGAGAAAATAAGATAAATCCTTCTTGAGGAAGAGAAAACAAGAGAAGGAAGGAGAAAGGAAGGAATAATATGTTTACAGGATCAAATTCCAAGGAGAATGCCAAACAAGCAACCTTTCAGTAGTAAAGTGATCTTGACCATGAGACTGGGAAGCACTCAGCTTGTTGATGTTAACATGTAGGCACTGCCTTTTAAAATTAATGGAAGTATTTTAACTTTGAGGGCTCAGCAAAACTATTGCCATTCAATCTTAAAAGCAAATTTTTAAAACGCTGGCTTATTTTCCAGACCATATAATTAAGAGATTATGATTATGGACTGAGCATAAAATAACATTAAAGAGTTGTTAATTTTGAGGAATATTGTGGTGATATAAACTATCTCTCAGAAATTATGTGAATAGTATATAGGAGTAAAATGATGCTGGGATGTTCACTAATATCTGTGTGTACATGATAGTTTGTAATAAATTTGCATATGTGTGTGTACATGCATGTGTGGTTGCACAAGTGTGTGTGTGTCACATGTGTGTTCACATGAAGGTTAGAAATTAATATCCAATGTCTTCCTTGATGTTCCTCCATCTTATATATTGAGGGAGGTCCCTCACTTGAATCCAGAGACAATGTTCAGTTGCTCTAACTAACCAGCTAGCTCTGGGGACCCCTGACACCATCTCCTGAGTGTTAGCATTATAGGTGAGCCATCACACCCAACCCCAATTTATTTGGGTCCTGGGGAACCCAATTGAATCCTCACATTTGCATGGCAAGCACTTTACACTCTGAGCTATGTCCTCAGTCTCTATATTGACATCTTTAAGGAAAAAAAATAATTTGGGTAAATGTACAAATGTATCTAAAATATTGATAAGTATTAAATCTTATGGGATTCTGCACCTACTTATGTGAATAGTTGATCCTTTCTATAATCTCAAAACTTTAAAAACAGGTGATGGAGCCTAATAGAGTTGGAAGAAGAAAAACAAAAACTAACAAGGCATGAAGGTACAACAACTATAGTCCCAGTACCAAGAATACTGAGGCTAGAAGACTCCAGGTTTTAAATCAGCACTGGCTATATAGTAACACTCTGCTCCAAAATCAAACAAATGACAACAAAACGACTACCTGACCAACCAGATCAGCCCATGTAATGAGTGTCAGAAGATGCAACTATTCAGAGTTAGCTCAGAACATTTGAGCCAGCAATGCCCTCTGCACAACCTTGAAGGTGTGAAGAAGCTCCCGAGCCACCTGGGCTTGTTACCTGACAGTCCTTCAGGGCATTCTGAACGGAAGTCTGGTCACCAATTTGCTGCTGCTGTTTGAGCTTCTTTTCCTGGTTTTCAAACCAAGCTTTCAAAGACTGTACACTATTTTCATACTCTGACCAAGACTCCAACAAGCCTTCCAGCAGCTGGATCTAAACAAACAGGAAGATACAAATTAAAAAAAAAAAAAAAAAAAAAAAACAAAATGTTTTAAAGTCAAATCCCTGAAACCAAAAAGATTACCCAATACAATTTCTTATGAGGGACAAGTTCTTGGGAGGCAATGGAGATATGGGAAGGACTATGCTAGAAGGACATCATATACTTACATGAAAATGGCCTTACAAAACTATGCATGATAAAATTAAAATGTGAAGAATGGAATGTCTTAAAATACAATCTATTGCCTGTCTAAATGAAGAAAATGAAGTTTACCAAATATCGATCGATAACTATTATGGGGGGGTGACACTATAATTAACCTAAAGCAAAGGGAAGAAAAATAAAGAGGCATGGAAAAACAATCAGACATATGAAATGTTTAAGGAAGGGAGGGTGTGTAAGAGAAGAAGGGAACTAAAGATGTCCAGAGCTAGGTCACCTTCAGGGTGCTGTGGGAAGCTCTATCATGCTTCATCTAGCTACACCACGTGGGAAATGGTTTCCTGCCATCCTAAGCCTGTTGCTGGGGTGTACATCAGGATCAGAAGGACGGGCCATCTAACTCACCTTCTCACCCACTCGACCTTGCAAGAGCTGCCAACTTTTGTTCATGGCTCCAAGCTGCTCAGCAAAGTCGGTCTTATCGCTGCGCTTGCTCTCCACATCCTGGCTGCTGATCTGGAGTACTGACTGGTTCACAAAATCTGCCGTCAGCTGTTTGCAGTTCAGGTCTATCCTGAAACCCTAAGAGAGAGGCAAGAGACTCAGATGTAATGATAACTCTTTCCACCAGCCTCCTGAGTTCCTCTGCAACTTTAGGGCCCCCAAATAACACACAGAGATTAATATTCGTTACAATGCTGCTGGCCAATGACTAGGATTTCTTATTTGCTAGCTTTGTCTTAAGTATCAACCATAACCATTAATCTATATATTTTATATAAAGACTTATCTTATTGAGGACACCAGTGGCATGCATCCTCCACTCCCCGGGATCACATGGCAACTCCTCTTTACTACATTTCCCAGAATCCTCCTCTCCTAGTCCCACCTATCTTGTTTCCCTATTGGTCAACAGTGTTTTATTCATTGACCAAGAAGAGAGGTATACACAGAAGGACTTCCCCCATCACTCAAACAGCAAGCTTGCATGTGTAAGTCTTGGCATGTCCCAGGAGTTGTAAAGCCTTTGAGAACCCACATGTGACTGTTATCATTGCCATGATGTCATCCAAATGACACAGTCTTTGTTTCTTCACATGACTGGCTGGAATATGTATTCATTATGTTTATAAAACCACACACACATATAAATAGCATATACATGATCTGTAGAAATAAATTCCTTCAATATCTTTCACTGTGTTATAGTTTGGGTGTGTAATGTCCTCCATAGGTCCATGTGTTTGGACACCTGGTCCCCAGTCAGTGATGCATCCTGATAATGTTATGGAACTTTAGCAAAGTAGAGCCTCTCTGGAAGACCTAGAGGGTATACATCACTGGGGACAGCCTTTGAAGCTGTACCGTGTGACCCCATTTCCTGCTCTCCATCTCTCTGCTTCCTGTGTGCGGATGTAACACAATTGGTCAGCCTCATGTTCCTGTTGCCAGACCTTTCCCTCCATTACAAACTGAATCCCCACTGGAACTGTTATCCAGGCAAACCCCTTCTTTCCTAAGTTGCAGTAGGCAGGGTATTTTATCACAGCAACACAAAAATAACTGACACAAAGTATTGTACTTCACATTTTCACACTCTTATTTTTGAGTGTTTCTGTCTGTTTACTGTGTGTGGGATAGATATATCCTAAGCCCTGGTATGAGTTTTTGAGCACCTTCAAATAAAAGTCTAAATATGTGAAAATGAAAAGTTCAGTGTCAGTTACCTTATATTTCTGAAGGTATTCGTGGATTGCCTTGTAACCTATTGCATTTTTTATGTCTTCTTCATCCTTCAGGATGACACTTTCCATGAGTGCAATCCAACTCATGACCTCAGAAATGGCATGGCGGGAAGGCAGCTTGTCCATCTGGAGCTGTGAGAGTTGAGATAGAATTGAGTCCCAAGCATTAAAATTCAGACCCAATCTCTGTCAACACAGTGGTTCTCAACCTTTCTAATGCTGTGACTCTCTAATACAGTTCCTCATGGTGTGGTGACCCCCAATCATAAGATTATTTTTATTGATACTTTGTAACTGTGATTTTGCTACTGCTATGAATCATACTGTACGTGTCTGTGTTTTCTGATGGTCTTCAGTGACCCCTGTGAAAGGATCTTGTACCCGCAAAGGGGTCTCGACCCACAGTGAGAACTGCTGTGTTAACAGAAGAACCATCTGCAGATTTCTACCAACACAGCCCTTTATATTTTCCAGGTCTCTGAAGCTTGACACATGAGGCAAACACAGTAACACTAGCCCCCTAATACTCACTTGACATCTAATACCATCTGCATTGCATAAATATTACCTATTAATCAAAACACCAGCAAGAAAACATATTCTTACTTTATAGCTACTTTTATGAGTTTTTTTTTAAAAAAAAAAACCTTAACTACAAAACATTCAACAGATGTATTTTATTAATTATCTTGTAAAACCTCTGTGTATTATGACTCAGGATTACTAAAAGAAGGAAGAAAAACACCACACTGAAAGATATCATTTTCTCTGCTTTCTGACTCCCTCATATTTATTCCTAAGATCCAATTTCCTGAGTATTTAAGATATACTTGAATTCTGAACTTTACTTCATATGCCAAACAAGTATGCATATTATGATTACAATGGTTTGCAAAACAAAACAATCATTTAAATACATTTAAATCAAAATTGTCCGGTATGTGGTGAGTCATGCCTATAATGCCCCCAGCCCTCTCAGAGGCTGAAGCTGGAGGATCACCACAAACTCAAGACCATCGAGCCTACAAGGTAAGATCATGTCTCCAAATATACATAAAATTAGATATATATGATCTAATTCTATGTGGTACTGAAAGGAACAGAGAAAGATGGGATTGTTCTTCTCTTGTAGGAAAGTTAGAGCTGATTGAAGAGAAACCAGTTGTGTACTGAAAACATTTATCATACCTGATCTACAGTGATGAATGCTAAAGAGACAAAAAGATTAACATGTTCCAAGGTTCCAGGTAGGTTAGACATATTACCAACCAGAATATAGTCATGAGCTAAATACCATTGCTCAGTGTGGAGCCCCATATACAATGATAGGCTCAAAATGTTATGATAAGTAAAGTAGCCTGTGTCTATTTCTCAGTTTGTGGTAAGTACACTCTGATGTTTGAATAATGACAAAATGGACCAAGGACCTATTTATCAGATACAATAGTGGGCTCAAAATGTAATGACAAATGAAGGAGCCTGTGCCTAGCTCTCAGTCTGTGATAAGTATATTCTGATGTCCAAACAATGACAAAATAGACCAAGGACCTATTTATCAGACCCATTTGCATGCCTGTTGCAAACAATGTGAGACTGTTATTATATTGAGTAAGATCCAATTTCCTTGTTGGATGTAAGATGGCAGATCTTCTATGCATGTTATATGTCTTCACAATTTTATGAGGTTCCTATGTTTTAGCCATGATATGTCAGTTTAAAGAAGGTCAAAGTTTTCAAGTCAAGTTTCCAACACACACACACACACACACACACACACACACACACACACACAAGCCCTGGTTAACTCTAACTCACATTTATATGGTAGAAGTCAACTGTTACCAAATAAACCAGTTTTTTCTCGGTACCTGGTGGAGCTTCTCCTGCACCACAGGAATGCTTGTCAGTAGATCAGTCCACTGGCTGTCCATGCGGGACAGCTCAGCACGCAGGGCAGCTGTGTCCACTTTCTTCAGTCGAAGAAGTTGATTTCCAGTGCTCATGACTGATGATTTCAGGGAAGACTTGGCATCTACCTCTTTAGAGAACTCCTTAAAAAACCAAAAGTCACAGTGTTCAGTTTAGCATCAAATCCTTGGACCTTTCCATTGAAGGACAGAGACCAACTTAGAGTACAGACCAGGTATATCCTCATATCAGGGCTCAGTCATGTGGAGATCTTTGGAGACAATCAAATGCACCACACCTTTTCCTCCAAAAGAGGCTAATCCATTACCTGAAAACTAACTGAAAGAGGCAACCTGGGATGCCAATTGTCTGCATGAATACTAGACACACAAAGTTAACCTCAAAATTGTCTCTGACAATTTAGCTTCTCTTCTGTGTCTGTTGGCTTCCTGTGTACTGTTCCTTGAGTCCAGGCTGAGAAACAAAATGAGATCACCTGTTCTAAGTTCCTAGACTTACCAGGAAAGCGTTGAGATGGTCCCGGACCATTTCCAGCTCTTGTGGGACAGTCACAGACTGCTGAGTCCAGAAGGCCAGCCTGTCCTTTGCGGACTGTAGCCAGTGCATCAGATCTGCAGCCTCACTCTGATACCTTCAAGCACATGAGAGAGTCTTTTAATGAAATATCCAGTCTCCATTGTCTGTTGTCAGTTAAAAAGAGAGCCCCCAGAAGACTCAGAAGAAAAGTATATAAGGTGGGTGCTCTGAAATTCTTTTCTTTGTATATTTATATCTTACATCTGTCCTGGTTTCAGTGCCCCCATTGCTAAGTTGGAAATAAGAATATCTTTCTCTTTCCTTGGATTGATGCAAAGGTGACAAAAGAAACAATGCTTAATTCAGTAAAATACAAATAAGTGCCTCCCGTGAATACTTCCCATTAGAATTTCATTGTAAAATATTCCCCCAGTTGGTCCCCAGTCGGTGTCACTATATGGAGAGGTGAGAAGAACTGGAGGAGAGATTAACATGACGAAGAAGTCAAATGAAGCTACCCTTGAAAGGCAGCATGTCACACAACAGAAACACACACACACACACACACACACACACACACACACACACACACCTACACTTCCAGGTAGATAGATATCTATATATATGGTGTGATGTCTCTTATGTCACCTGTTCCTGTCACCAGGACTCAATAGATCCGACTGATTTTGGTCTGAAACCTCTGAAATAGTGAGCCAAGATAACTATTCCTTCTGATAAATTGTTCTTCTCAGCAAGGCAATCTCAGGTATTTCCCATGGCCCATGAGGAGAATACTCCCACTTAGCACTGTCCCTGTCTCTAAGGCTTTGAAGCGACTAGACAAGTAGGAGGGCAAGCAGCGTCAGCAGCATGGGGCACTGCTCACCCCAGTAACTTTAATCACACATTTAAAATAAGCCAGAAGCCCATTGGGAACCCTCTGGTGGCCTTTATTTTCCAAACTATGCCATTTTCTAAATGTGCATATCTTTTCCAAGCCCAGCATCTACCAGCCTTAGAAGTACACCACAGAACTCATCAAAAACGCAGGCCAAATGCTCATCCTATTACCTGGTCCAGTGTTTCAGTATGGTCTCCAGTCTGTGAAGTTCCTTGGACACTTTGTTGCTATTGTTGAGCCAGCGCTCTCCAAGCTGATTGAGCTGGCTTTCAAGATCTGAGCAGCTGGTGGACATTAGAAGTCGCTTTCCATCATCTAACACTTGATACAATTTGGGCTGGTACTCGTTAAGACTGGATTTCAAATGCTAAAACGATTGATGACATTGGTTTAAAAGCTTGACTTGGTGTAGCTTTTATCCCTGAGCATTATAATTTCTCTGATCTTTATAATATTGATATTGTTTGTTATCAATCATAAATTATCTTCACTCTGCTGCTCTGAAAACTTTAAAATGTATCAAAATATAGATGTTTTCTCTTTGGATGTGTTTACATCTGTCAGGATTAATTATCTCTAAAACAGTGTTACACCAAAATAAACTATTAAAAAAAAAAAAAGCTTGGTAGAAATGCTTTGGGAATGGTTTCAAAATGAACTCACTTGTCACAGAATATTGTCTATTTGTCATTTAACTATAATCCATCACCTAGCAGCCATCATCTATTATCTAACTTCATATCTATCTAGCTGTCTGTCTGTCTTTCTATCTATCTATCTATCTATCTATCTATCTATCTATCTATCTTCTATTTATTTTACAGAGCCGAGAATCTAGCTCATGGCACCTTGATTATCAAGAAGGCCTCTATCACACTAATGAGCTATATAGTTCACACAAAGAAAGATTTTTTTAAAAAAATAAGAAATTCTAATTATACCCAGTGGGTCATATAAACACACAAAAGGCATGAAAGTAGGAGAAACACTTGTTGAAAACAAGGGTTTTAGCAAGCCTTCGATAGAAGGGATAAGAGAGGGGAAATGTGAGGAGGTGGAACTAAAACTCATTGTATAATGTATAAAACCATCAAGCAGTAATAAAAAATATAGTCAGTTGGTAGTGGTGCATGCCTTAATCCCAGCACTGGGGAGGCAGAGGCAGGTGGATCTCTGGGAGTTGGAGGCCACCATGGTCTACAGAGAGAGTTCCAGAGCTATTACACAAAGAAACCTTGTCTCAAAAAAAAAAATAGATAAATAGTAATAATAATAATAATATACTATAAATAATACAAACACAATCTATGCACATACATGGATTTTAGTAACTTTAAAGAAAAGTAAAAGACTTAATGAAGTTTAAACTTGTTTGTTAAACTTGTTTAAATTCTGTTAAAACTATTGGCAAATTTCTAAAGGAAACATTGTTATTCATCTTGGAAGCCAGACCTGGTAGAGACTTGTCCTTTCCACAAGTCTGTCCTCGCTCTCCTCCACTAGGCCCACACTTGGGATGCTGCTTTCAACCATCTCCAGCTGTCGGCTGAGCTCCTGGCGACTCTCATCCAGTTGGGACCACATCTACAAACACAACAGTAATTACTGGAATCCCACACTCAGGAAGCTGGTGAGATCACAAGTTCAAAGACAGCCTGGGCTATGAGCAACAATGGGTCTCAGAGAAAACGAAACAAAACCAAGCAAACAACATCCAAAAAAAGGGGTAGTCAAGTAGTAACAGGAAAGTTTAGTTGGCATTTGTTTGGGGAAACAAAAGGTGGCTCTAAAGCAAGTGATGTGATGGTGGCCCTTAAAAAAAAAGTGTGCAGGCCTCTCTCTCTCTCTCTCTCTCTCTCTCTCTCTCTCTCTCTCTCCTTCTTAATTTTCATAAAATAAGTTTTCTC